TTTGCCCGCTCCCCTACCCCAGGAGTGGTTTCCGCTTCCGAACTCGAGGAGTTCAAGCTTGAGCCGGAAACTTTAGAGGTGAGCCGGAAAGGCTAGGCCGTGCGCGGTCGAAATGGCCGCACCGCAAAAGGCCGCACCGTAATATTGAGGTATTCTTTTCGGAGCTAGAGATTTGAAACACAAGAACGGAAAAGGAGGAGGTTTCTCGGCTGTAGGCGCGCTTAGGAGGAGTGTTAGTATTGGAGCGCTTGGGCGGGGTTATTTTCAGTCAGGATAATTTCTCCGCTTCTTGGAGGGTCCCCCGCCCCAGGCTTTGCCGTTCTACGAAGAGATTCTAGGAACGGCGTTTTTGGGTTAGTGGTGCTGTCTGTCCTTTTCTACCTGCATCACTTGTGTAGTTGCGCTATTAGTGTTTGGGGGGTTTGTAGGGGTTAATCGGTAGGAACCTGGTTATTGATAGGGAAAATCTTGCGCGAACCTCCGCAACTACCCATCTATCATATTGATCCTGCAATTAGCACAGCCTGGCTAGATTTCACGACTGCCTGCCCCACTTCCCCCGGTAGGCTTCCCTTAGCTGAAGCATGCCGAAGCATTTTATATATATAGTTAAGGTCAGTGAAGGCTGCTTAAAGAAAAAGTTTTGTATGGAAGTAAGAAAGGGTCCTCATCTATAGAGTTATGAAAATCAATCCTGAATTTGAATTTTGAGAGCCCCTTCCGCTGTGCATTTTCCTCAGGCACCACAAGCCTTGCTTAAACCCATATATTCGCATCAAAGTCCAAAGCCTTCACCAAAAAGAGGTAGATAGTCGGGGGCGCTGCCTTGTTTTTGAAATCAATCTCATGATATTTTTCTATGGATAAACTAGCTGGATTCGATCCTTTTCTCATTTTTTCCTTGAGCGTGGCTTTCAGCGCGGCTTCCTTTCGGTTTCAATTCGATTTTCCTGGTAAGCTCTAGCTAGTAAACACATATTATGGCTGAGAAGTGCTTTGAATTGCTCCTGACTTGGATTGCTTGGATCTTTGGGAACAGAACCCACCTGTTTATCGCCAGCCCAATGACAATGAAGTGCTGCAATTCAACGCATCGGTGACCAAGCGCTTCCTAGCCATTACTGAACTGGACGGAGCAAGAATATGCCTCGCGAAATCCCGAGCAATAGAGCTTGCTTGGCCTGTGTGCACAGGTCAGGTGTTGCCACAAGTTCCCAATACTGTCCTGTAGACCACGAAGTCGTACTGGAAGTTTGAATCAGAGCTGCTGCGTCTGCTGACCTGTTCTGCCGCCTAGCGCTGTGGCTGCACAATCAAAGCATTAGCTGCCGTCCTCCTCGGTGAAATACTCCTGCCAGCCCGCCGGAAAGTACACGTCACCTTCCACATCCTAGGGCTCGACCATCGGTGACAGACTGCGCAAGCAACGAGGCTTGATTTAAGAACAGCATCCGCGTGGACATGAGTCGCCCAAAGCTCATCTGCCAGCGCAAAGGACTCCCGGTACACGGACGTGCCGCCGGCAATCCACACATTCACGTGGTTCCTCATGCGCGCCACCTTGTGCACAGAACAGGACAGCTGGTCCTAAAGGCATACAGGGGATAAGGTCGCAGCTTGCAACGCCTCTTGCAGGGAAGGTTGCACCAAGGCATCTGGGTATCGTAGCTGCTGCTTGGACAGCACTATGTGAAGGCCTCACCGGAGGCAAGCTTGGAGCAAAAGCGCTCGAAGTTCCATGTCGGGGCGCTCTACCGTATCGAACTCAACTTTGACCGCCCAGCTTCTGTTACCTGCATGAGAAACATTTGGTGCGAGACGAATCTCGGGCCCGCTGCTTGCGGCCACCGCCCTGGACCCCAGCCCCCATCTCCCCACAATGATTCTGCCTGCGCTGGGTATTGCGCACCCAAACTCCGCATAACTTCTTCGGCCGGTGATGCAAACGTCACCTTTGACTGCTTCCAAGAAGTACGAGAAGTCCTGACGAAAGCACCATAAGCACCCCACATGACCAAATCACTGCTACATGTGCGCGGACCCAAGGCACTCGCCTCTGGAATTGACCATGGCAATCGCCCCTTCTTGCCAATGACGCCATTCCGCGACATGGCTGCAATTAGCCGAACTTTCATAGCAACTGGTGTGCTCAGTGCGCTTGCACCTTGGGCAGCCTTTTCAGAAGCTCTACAGCAAAACTGCAGGGTAAATGCTGCGCCATGACATCGTGCGAACTTTCCGTTTTAATGAGTCCATGCAATCTTCACTGATTTGCAAATGCCAGGTGTACATCCCGAGAGCTGCAGGTGTAAGCAAGGAAGCTCAGCGTCGCATGTCGCGGCCCTGACCATCTTGAGGGCATCGAACCATCTGCGGCAGTGAGCTGCTTGCGAGTTTCTTGTGGCCTCTATTTTGTGGTGCGAGGCCTGGCAGCTGAATGCGGTCCTGCCATAAGATCCATAAGAGGCATCAAGAAGCTTTGGACGCCTCCAAATGCATATGGACTTCATGTGTGCATGTCAGACGTAAGGTTTGCAGGTTCCCCATAAACTTGGAAGATTTAAAGCTACATGAACATCCGCTTGCTGACTTGAAGACAGCCCAGCATCCCGTTGCTCTGGGGTGAGACACAAGATTCAATTGCTTCAAGCGGGGCTGATTCGCAACTGTCTTAGCTGCCTCAGCTAGCGGCGCTCACACAGCACAGGACCCGAGCCAGTACGAAGCAGACTCTGTGAGTAGCTCCTGCCAGTGGCAAGGCGCCACACTTGCTGCATGCAATTTACGCAGAAGGTTCCTATCTGGAGGGCGGCTCACAGTCGGTCCGGAGCCACACCTGCACTGCATGCACTGGCACTGCCAAGGCTCTAGTTGCCCAGTGGTAAATCTCTTGACTTCCCCGCTCCTTCGCATCGATTGTGGTGCGTTACTGCTCCTGGGCAAACAAAGAACCTAGACAAGAACAACACGGGTTTGTCAATCTGGGGCTGCCACGCGCTCAGATGGTTCCCTTGGAATCGAGGGTAGAGCATCATGTTGAACACTTGCAAGCAGCGCGTGGATGCTCTGCTGAACTGTATCTCAAAGTATCCCGCGATTCTTGCTCAAAGTCCCTTTTTGCAGGACACCGCCAGCCTGTGCGAAGATTGCGAGACGGTCAAGATTCGTATTGCAAGCGCAGTGCTGGACGCCCCAAACCCGCTGGATGTGCCTGCAACTTACCGAGCATGGACACTGGAGCAGCCTCCTCACAAAGCAACTTTTGCTACATAGCTACATTTCATTACATTTCAGCGTTGCGCAGTGCGTCAGACCTGGGAAGTGCTGTGAGGTGACAAGGATTTCCTGAGCTGAATGCCCAAAGCCCTAAGCTTTGACACATTGCATCTGTAGGCTTCCAGGCAGGGATGCGCTCCCATCTCTAGCCTGGCCGAGAACATGAATGGGGCAACTGCTCTGGGAAAGTTCGCTTGAAGACGCTTTGGTGAACTGCGTGATCGCCTGCAAAGGCCGTGCTGCGATGCTGCGCCTTCGCGTCATTTCTAGAAAGAGTGAAGGCTCAGCATGTCCAGGGGTTTGGTTAAGCACATCTGGCCTGGTGGTCGAACCCAGCGTGGTTGGGCCTCTCAGGATGAGCTTTACTTTGAACGACTGGACGAACTGGTCTTTCCCTTCTATGTTCAACAAACGCGACAGCTTTGAAGAAGTTTTAGGAATTCATTGCGGAGCATTCCTTGTACCGCGCAGCAGCTTCTGGAAAAAAGGTTTTGTGTTCGGACAATGTCTTGCGCATTAGCATCATAATATAATGAGTGAACGTCAAAGAAGCGAATCAAATGATGCGTACACCCGTCAAAGACACCTTGTTTCTCCAGCTGGCAGTGGCTTGCTCAGCACATTGACCTGCCCGCCTCCGGCAGATGTGGTGGATGATCTGGACCTGCAAGGCAAGAAACAAATCTCCCATCACATGGGCATGAAATTGTGACCAGCCAGTTAGTGTAATATTGGCGCGGAGAGTATGCAAAACAACTTGCATGCCCTCTGAAGTGGCCTTCGTTTTCCGTTACTTACAAAAGAGTTTGGATACAGGAATGTACAAGAACTGAAGGTATTCAAAGATTTCGCCCAAACCAGTTGGAACTAGCAAGAAGGAGTGTAACGGATTTAGCGGCTGTAGAGAGGCGAAAAGAGCGATTCAAGAACATATCATCAACACCCGAACTTGGAGGAGAAACATGTTACAATGGCTTGCATTGAAGCATCATGTTCAGGGTTAGGTTTCCAACACATTGTATGAAAGGCGAGATCTGAATCTGGTGGGTCGCTCCAGCATGAGAAAGAGTCTGCAGGCTAGCTTTGCAATCCAAATGATCTTGAAAACGGGGTAGTCTGTTCAAGGTATTGGCTATTACCTATGCACGCAACTGTAGCCGTTGGTTTTGGAAAAAGATCCTGCTCCGGACCCCCCAAAACAAGTCCAAGACATCATCACTACGCATCCAGCCTAAATCCTAAAACATACTAACAAGCAAACACCGAGCTCTGTCTCAACCACCGACACGACACGACCCACACGACCCACACGACCAACACGACCGACACGACCGAGACGACCAGCACGACCGACACGACCACCAAAAACCGCGGCTGGTTCCCGCCTCTCGCGGGTTCCTGTCTCGCCACTCGCGTGTTCCCACGTGGGTTCCCGACTCGCACCTGCGGTTCCTGACTCGCCTAACTTTCCATCCTGAAACAGGGCTCCACTAATCCTGCGGGGATAACCTGCCTTTCTGGGGGTGGGGGTGGCAGGGTAGTCAACATGGGAGGAAAGATCCTCTCATGGCGACCATTTTTGGGACCATTATAGATGGTAGCTCGCGGAGGCAACCCGCAAAGAGGGCATCCGCAAGAGAACAAACACCAGAAAAAAAGGTCACCCGCAAAGAGGTACTCCGCAAGCGACGAAACAGCATCCTGCATTTTCAGACGATTTCTCTTCAGGGGATGGGAACGGGAGGTATCCAACGCGCAAGTAGAGATTCTTGCAGTGACTACCTCTGAGAGGTATCGCATAGGCCGCATAGGTAATACGCGGAGAGGGACTCCACAGGTGCAGAGGTGACACGCGGGCCAACTCGTTTTTCTTTTCCAGGGGGGGATGGGGATGCACTCAAGCGAGGGAAATATCAATATCCTACATCATCGAGCTGGGGGGGTATGTAACTGGCGGAGGTACCCGTCGCCCGGGCTGGGGTACGTGATGTGCTGAACACCCTGAACCCTGAAGACAAAAGGCCCTAATTTCCTGAAACACAAAGCTCCAAACACCTGCCGCCAGAAACACGAAAGATCCCAACCCGTTTCAATGGCCCTAAACATCCGAAACCCTTAACATCCTTTTCCCTACTACAGCATACATGCCCAGACTCGAAGCATACTGTTTCTTTAACACAGTAAACCCTAACACAGGTCTCGTCCAATTCCTTTCCTTAGCCCGGACGCATGAAGCCTTAAGCTCTTGGGGGTTCGCATAGTTTTTTGGGGTCGAATGCAACTACAAAAACATCATGTACGAAATCGCTTTGAAGAGAGGGCCTGGGGCTTTTGCGGATGTTCCGATTCCACGTGTGCGACCTGAGTCTTGAATCACCACTGCATCAAAACCAAGAGGAGTCCATACAGGATGCGGCAGATGCTCCTGGAGACGATGAAATCCCCAGGGATCAACCTCCGTCTCTGCCAGGCTTAGAGCAAATGCAAAGCAGGCAAAGCAGAATGCAGTCCTCACCTGGTAGTCCAAGGGCGCATCTTGCCTTTGCTTCAGCCACCACCTCCGGCCAGGTCTCGCATCTACAACTTGTGCATTTCTAATTCTCTGGGTGCAGCAAACCCATTTTCGCTAGCCACGAACTAAACTACTAAACAGAGCCAAATATTGCACGCGTGTAGAAGTGAGCGGTGCTCATGCGGAATGCTGCCTCACGTCTTCACTGTCGGCAAGCTCGTTGCCTGCATTCATTGTTTGAAATACTACAGCGACATAGATGAGCGCCTGGTGCGCAACATGCATGAGCGTAGCCGCACTTAAGTTAAGAGTACCGCTTGCGTGAAGCCCCACAACTCTAGGCTGAGTGGTCTCAGCTGACGGCCATAAAGGAAGTGATGCCTTGTCATGAGAATTGCTTCAGGTGAGGTAGCTTGACTGGGCTGCATGCACGTTCACTTTGCACAGGCAAGTTGCAAATGAACAACAACCGGCCGCATGCGGACTTTTTACATGTCTGGGTCTGCGACCGACGCAGCCAGCTTAGGCTCCCAAGCCAACCAATCTGAACAAGTGGAACATTCGGAAGCTGCGAAAAAGGACTGGTTGCGCCTGATGGCGGGAGAAGTCAACGAAGCTTTTGCGCCACCGAGAGATCCTCACTGGAAAAGGATGCAAACAGTACTGGAAGCTGGCATGAATCTGCTCAAGTCTTGGGCAATGGACTTGCCACATCAACTGCCCACCTGAAACTTCCTTAAAGTTCCTGGTGCTGCTGTGAATGCAGGATACAACTTGAGCTTTCTGTATATACAGCACAACAGTACAATTGTCCATTTCATGTTCCGCCATCTTCTCCATGTGATTTTCCACTGCCGATTAAATGTCGATGTTTTTTTTCTCAGTGATTGAGTTTGCAAGTTGCCGCCTATACCCTCCATCAAAGGTGGGCCAGACACATGAGGCATCGAAGCATGACACGTCAAAAATGTTTAAACACACAGGCCTCCAAGCACGCTGAATCCGTCGTGCAGCATGGTGCACGCACCGGATCCTCCGGAGTTGGAAGTTGTCCAGCAAACCCGAGTTATGCATGCTGCAGCAGCCTTGCGCAGGTCGTGCCCTCGGGAAGCACCTCTTGCACAGCATTTGCGCATCAGCCACCGGATTGCACCGGCCACTTGACATACTCATGATGCCATCAATGCCTCCAGGGTCCTGGGTAGTGACGGCTGCAGGGACACTTTCCTGCAGCAGAAAGCCTTCAAGCTGCAAGTCCCAGCATGCCCAACCACAGGTCTCCTGTTGGTTGGATCCATCCAGGTGACATGCGGATCAACCGCC